ATACTGGTATCGTGGCCGGATACCGGCTGGTATCTTAAGAGTATATTTGGTATTCTAAAATTTTTTTTAATAGTGTGATGACATGACTGCGGTATTCTCTGTAATAGTTTATGTTCTTTGGTATATGTAAATTCAAGCTTAAAATCAGTGGCACATCACTTTAAAACCCTTTTCTATTTGGGAGAATTTTCCTTTTGTCCTAAATTTCTCTTTGGATACAAGTCCATCCTGCTAGATATAAGTCTCATTTATTAATATAAAATGGTATCAATTAGGCCTCGTTCTTTTTGCTGATTCGAGTTTAGAATTTGAGTTTTGCTACAGTAAAAAGTTCTCAGAAACAGTCACATCTAACTTTTTTACTACAGTAAAAAGCTTTCACACAACATCACATTTCAACTCGAATTAAAAACTCTAATTTAACCAATTATTTTGGGAACGTAAAATGTTGTAGATGTAGATAATCTACCGTTGAATTTATAAGTAGGGCCAAAGATTGGGGCTCTAGATTTTAAGGTCTTTTCCAAAGAAATTGGGGACTTTGTCCTACATTGATAAGGAGGCAAAAAAACTGGAGGCTCTAAAGCGTTTATAAATAGCTAAGGCATTAGTTTTAATTGGCTCACTCACAAAACTTTCAAGTATTAATTTTTAAAGTAGATGATATTATTGCCTATTGCCTCAAAGGATTTCTCTTACCTATCAGAATCAAAGGATTTCTCTTACCTATGAGAAAAATTGAGAAACCAAAGGCAAAATAAGAGTGTAGAGTGGTAATAGTGCAATTAAATGAGAATTAATGACACCTCAGACTGGTGAGCTTGTTTTTTTAACTGGAACTTAAGTTTCTCGTTTTCACTTAAGTTGCTCTATTTCTAATTTTCTATATGTTGTTTTTGATAATCAAAATCTTTTTATTCTATAACAGTTAATGGTTTTTTTTTAGGAATTGGGAATTCTGCAGATAGCTTCAAAAACTAAAGGTACTTAAAACAAATAAATAAAAGAGAGTTTTTAGGAATAAAGACTTTATTTAAATACACTTAAATAAGATACAATAGTCTTATAGATTGCTACAAACTGACTTCTTAAATACATATTGTTGTGTGGGAAAATTCACACCGACACGTCGGACAACGACTAAGCCACACGTGGCCCCATGCTTGCCACGTCATTTAGCCCTCGACGCCCGAAGCATATTGATCTCTCCCGTATGGCAGGAGGGCTGAATGTATGAGACCGACGACCCTATACACAGTCGAGGTCTCCGAGATAAGCCCTGGCAAAACAACGTGGCAAAGTCGGCCTTAGGAGAGGCTACCCTCAGCAGATGTTAGCATAGGCACAGACGGTCGAGCACAAGCAACTGGATCCACGTCCCAAGGAAGACCCTTGAGAAGATCAGCCGAATATCCCAAGGTTGTGTCTGGATTTGGAGAAGGCCAGTTGCATAGGAAATGATTACAAGCCTCTAAAACCGCCTAGAACGGATCACTAGCTATTACAGAGATCTACAGAGCCGTAATGGGGGGACAAATTGGATGAGTGAATAGTCCAAAAGGTAATTGCAGGCTACAGTCTGAACAAAAGAGGCCATAGGCCAGTCGAGTGGGCGGGCCCCATGAAGGACACGGTCAAATGGTCCAAACCGCCTACCATTGGGCATAAACTCAGGTAATGTCCACTATAAAAGGGGAAGAGCCCTGATCAGTGCATGAAAATGCACCCTAAATACTGCTTTTGATTTATATAATATTAAAATATTTAAGATTTAATTAAACAATTCCATTATTTTTATTCATAATATTTTTAATTGGAATTTGTCTAGTTTTTGCGTAATTATTTACAGACGAAAGCAGTGTGAAAAGCTACACAAGAAGGAGCCACGAAAGCCATATTTTCAACCAATCTGAGCCACCAAGTCGAGTGAGAGCCGCATTAGCCGTTTAAGCCACCGAGCCAAGCCACTCGTGGGTCCCACTTTGTGATAGCCTATCTGCAGCACTTTCAGCGCGCGTCACTTGCACGAGAGTTCCTCATCTCGCGCGTTCCTTCCATGCAGCCTTCACCGGGCATCTCAGCTTTCCGCCGCATGGGTCTCGCATGTCAGCTTACAGCTGCGCGTCTTCTCCGTGCGTGACAGCTGGCTTCCGCGGGTCCCAGCTGTCCTCCACTCTGCCCGCGCCAACACACTCCAACGAATCCGCGTGCGACATGTGGCACGTTTTTCTCCTCACTACCAATAAAGCTTCGACACGTGTCTCTTCTGTGCTGAATCCGAATTCCTTTCCCAAAAATCAGACGAAATTACCAGATTTCTTCCTCAAATTAAATATATGATTTCTCCTAATTTATGTGTAATTTTATTTTGTTTCCTTTTCTTTTGTAATTTTCTAGTTTTACTATTTATTTCCTTATTTGACAGGCAACCTCTGAACACTATAAATAGAGAGGTTGGCCTAAGGCTTTCTGAAGCTTTTGATATTCAGTTTTCTGTCGTCTTGCTGTCAGTCTCATATTTTCTCTCTAGAACTTGTGAGAATGTTTTGCAAGCTAGGCTAGAGTTCTCTTGGTGAGGTTAAAGATGAACTTCTTTGAGCGACCCATTTCAGAGTTTTGATTCCTTGTGCTATAAAGTTCAATATCTGAATGAATGAAATCTCATCTATTTTTCTATTACTTTTCAAAATATTGTGTGCTAATTTTTATATAAGTTCAGTCACGCTTTTCTTATGTAATTCTATCACGCATTGTTTTGTGATTCAAATTATTTTATAAATTGTCTTTTACTGCAATATTGCCAAATTGATATATTGTCGATTTTAGATAACTTGTAATGATTATAGTTCTGGAGTCAATATAGAGATTTAATTTATTCGATTATTTTATTTTGTGAATCAAAACTTGAATTGGTGAATGAGACATTAGGGATTCTCAACACCTTACCATTTTCACTACTGAATTTCTCCACACAAATTTCCTCCTTTTTATTCTATTTCCAGCAAAATCTCAAAAACTATTTTTTTTTCTTTAATTCACTTGTTATTTATCTTTCTCTTACGCTTTTATTTTGTTAATCTTTCTTGTTATTTTGTTATCTCTCTGTGGATACGACCGTCCTTTTATGCTACAATTGACCGCTTGTGAACATCACTTTTGGGCGTTAATCAAGTTTTGGCGCCCTTGCCGGGGAGGTGCTACTAACAAGAGTGATCAGTAGATTTTGAGCCAAAGAGGTAAGTACATATTCTCTGTATTTTTATTTTACTTTGTTTATTTTTCTTTGGTTTGCGTGATCTGTTTCTTAACTCACAAAAAAAAAATCTTTGTTTGCTGCATCTGTCTTTTTGTTTCGTTTTCTTTTCTTTGTCTTTTATTTCATTCTTTTAGTTTGTTAGCGTTTTCTCTTTATTAAAAATTTGATTTTCAAAAATAAAAAAAAACTTCCTTTGGTTTCCATGATTTGATTGTTAGCCTATATATATATTATAAAAAAACTTTTGTATGTGAAAAAAAAAGTAAAAGTTGCTGCAAGTTTCCGTGTGTATTCACTTAGTATTTTATATTGCTGCAAGTGTTGCTGATTTGACTTGATATTCATCTTCTCGTTTCCTATTTAAAAAAAAAAAACTTACTTTTTTTTTGGTGTTTGTTTTAGGAGCGGAACTCCTGTCATAGTAGTTGCTTCTTTTCTGTCAGTTTGTGTATTTTGCTTTCATTTATTGGTTTTTATATGTACGTGCATTTATTTTCTTTTTGTTTGTTTTGGTTTTTCTTTTTAGTCATTTGTGTCCATTCCTTTGCCTTTAATTAATTTCCATATCCTACCTATTGAAAAAAAAAGTCAGTTCGGTCATAGGTTACAATTTCTGTGTTTTTGTTTCCTTTTTATATTGCTAGAAGATAATTTAAGATTTGCTTTTAGTGTTAATTTTATTTCCCTCTTTAGTTTTAAAATTGATTGTGATTTGATTTTGTAATCTTTTATTTTTGATAGATTATGATTTTATTTTGTTTCCATGTTTGCGTAATTTAATTGTTAACTATTATATTGTTGCCTAATTTAATTTTTCCTTTTATAGTTTTCATTAATTCTTAGGATTATAATTTAGATTGTAATTAATTGACTAATTTAGATTCCTAATCTAAGAATTTCATAATTTGGTAGATTTAGGCTTTTGACTTTAGGAATAGCTTCCATTAACTAGATTACATTTCATAATTTACTCAATAAAATTTAATAATTAATTTTGAGAATAATTGTGTGGTTACGTGGAAAGTATAATATGAGGGAGTTCTGTCTAAGAAAGTTGGTACTTAAGTGGACCTCGCCCCACCAATCTTTTTTGGGAACGTTGCTCTGTCTAGAAGACTATTCATTGAGCCAAGAGCTATAGTCTTTCCTGTGAGCACTCTCGGTGGTTACAATTTACGTTACTATATAATTATTTTCTTTTGTTTTGATTAAAAAAACAAAAACAAAAAAAATTTAAAAAATTTAAAATAAAAAAAAACTGCTTTGGGTGAATGCATCGGTATAGAGACGAGCTAGGGAGATTCGCTCAACGTCCAGACCTAGAAACCCCTAGTGAAATTCTATCCGACTCGTCTTCTACGCCTTCGTCTTCACACTCGTCGTTGGAATTCGCATTTGAAAATCTATTCACAATGGCACAACATGAGAAAGTTCAGCAGAGGACGTTGCAAGATTATCTGCACCCAAAGCGCACGGCCACCCCATCGTGTATTATGTTCCTGCCAAATGCACCGCCTACGGATTTCAAGCCGGGCACGATTGCACTTCTCCCAACCTTTCACGGGTTAGAGAACGAGAACCCTTATGTACACATCCAGGAGTTTGAAGAGGTTGTGGCCACCTTTCACAACCGTGTTGAGGCCGCAAACACCATCAGATCGAACTTTTCCCTTTCTCTCTGAAGGACAAGGTCAAAAGCTGGCTGTATTCTCTTAGGCCTAAGTCTATTGGTACGTGGGAAGAAATGACAATTACATTCTTCAACAAGTATTTCCCACACCATAAGACTAATAATTTGAAACGACAGATCTCGAATTTCGCTCAGAAGAAAAATAAAACTCTCTATCAAGCTTGGGAGCATTTTAAAGATCTGTTAAATCTATGTCCCCACCATGGGTATGAAAGTTGGCGCCTCATAAGCTATTTCTACGATGGACTCACAATCCGAGAGCGCCAATTTGTTGAGATGATATGCAATGGAGATTTTCTCCAAAAGGATCCTGACGAAGCTATCGAGTACCTGAATGAGTTAACTGAGAAAGCTCATACTTGGACTGGACCGAGTGCTACTGAGAGCACCAGTAGGTCCCGACCAGTTGGAGTTTATCAATTAAGAGAAGAGGACAGCCTCAAGGCCCAAGTTGAAGCTTTGATGAAGCAAATTGAGGCCCTCAAAAGTAAAGATAGTAAAGGACCCCACATGGTGGCAAGGACAGAGGCACATGAGCCCTGTTTCGTTTGTGGTGGAATGAGCCATCTGGCTCAAGATTGTCTCACTTTTGGTGGAATGATAGGGGTATATGAGGAGCAGTGCAATGTATTGGGCACATACAATAAGCCTTATGGACCTTTCTCAAACACTTATAATGATAGTTGGAAACACCACCCAAACTTCAGTTGGAGAGACCCAAACCAACATGCACAATCATCGGGAGGGCAATGGAAATCAGAGCAAAAATCTCAACCACGAAGGACATATTTTGCGCCTCAGAATAACATACATCCAAAAGGAAATTCCCTAGAGGATACCCTAAAAGTTTTTATGGATGCGCAAAATAAGACGAATCAAAGAGTTGATTCAATGCTCACGCAGCTGGTGGAAGAAAACAAGGAAATAAAAAGTCAGATCACAAAGCTGGCAGAAGCTTTAATCGTTCAAGAGCGCGGTAAATTTCCATCACAAGCCCAGTCCAATCTGAGAGGACAACACATGGCTCAAACTTCCAACTCTGAAGGTCAAAATATCAAGGAAGTTAATGCCATATCTACTCGAAGTTGTAAGAATTTTGACATGCCATTCGGCTTAGGAGAAAGAAAAGCCAACAAAAATTCTGGTAAAGGTGCCTTTGCCCCAAGCTCTCTAACCTGCTGGGAAAGTGCTAGAAAATCAGAGTGAGATCCTGGAGCACTTGACACAATTGAAGATCAATCTTCCCTTACTATATGTGATCAAGCAAGTGCTGGCCTACGCCAAGGTTATCAAGGATCTATGCACCATAAAGAGGAAGCACCATGTCAAGAAAACTGCATTCTTGACAGAACAAGTAAGTGCGGTGATTGAGCAGAAGACACCGCCGAAGTATAAGGATCCAGGTTGTCTCACCATTTCTTGCCAGATTGGGACACATGAATTCGGTCAAGCGTTACTAGACTTAGGATCGAGCGTTAACCTCATGCCTTATTCGGTCTACTCGTAATTGGGTCTTGGAGAGATTAAGCTCACATCTGTGGTTTTGCAACTAGCCGATAGATCCATTAAGAGACCATGAGGAATAGTGGAAGACGTTTTGTTGCAAGTCGACAAGTTTTATTACCCCGTGGACTTTCTTGTCTTGGATACACAATCCGTGGTGAATATGGAGTCATCCATTCCCATCATTCTAGGAAGACCTTTCCTTGCCACAGCAAACGCACTTATCAATTGTAGGAATGGTCTCATGAAGATATCTTTCGGGAATATGACCTTTGAGGTAAATATTTTTCATATTCAAAAGCAACCATGTGATGACGACGAGTGTCACCAAACATTTTTGATCGACACACTTATCGAGGAGGAGGTTCTGCCGCAAAGCAACTCTGAAGATCTTGAAAACCTCCTCCAAAATTTTGAATATGAGAGTTTCGATCCTTGTGAGGTGGCTACCATTTCTACCATTTTTAAAGAATCAAAGGACAGAGGAACCAAGTTTGGGCCACCATGTTTTCAGGAGCTCCCAACAGTAGGAGAAAAACCTAAATCATCCACCGAGGAGGCTCCAAAAGTCAAGCTAGCCCAACCACCTGAGGGCTTAAAACATGCATTCTTGGGAGATGAAGTCACATTCCCAGTCATCATCTAATCTAAACTCGATCCATTGCAAGAACAACGATTGATCGACATGTTGAAAGAGCGCAATTCTAGGATCAAGGTAAAAATGAAAGTTGCTCATTATAAGCAGATCCTAAGGAAGAATTTCGAGCTAAATCAACGAGTTCATCTTTATGATTCATGTTTACATCTCCACCCCGGTAAGTTAAGGTCGCGGTGGACTGGCCCATTCATAGTGAAATGCGTTTCTCCCAATAGTGTTGTCGAGGTTGAGGACCCCACCAATGGGAGAATCTTCAAAGTAAATGGCCAGCGTCTAAAGAGTTACTTAGAGCGGGTGAAACAGGTTGAATAGATCATTCTCGACGACCCCGTTTACCAACCCTGAGTAGTTAGGTCACATCACCTGTACCATATCTTCATTTTATGTTTTCTTTGCTTCTTTTTACATTTTTTTTTGTAGAATCATATCAGGAGGCTCAAGCTGTGCTCATATGTGGAATGTTCATCGTCCAGGTGTCTTCTTTCCCTATATTTTCATAATTTGACACTAATCCCTATATTTCCATAATTTTTGACACTGAGTACACTGTCTGATTTTGGTTGGGGGTGGTGAGCATATTCATGCGTAAGAGTGATTTTTGTCATGATATTTGGGTTAAAATTTTTGTGAAGTTATCTGAGTATGATTTCAAAATGATTAGGTTTAGGTCAATTTTTGCTGTCTTGATTACTAAGAAATGACTTCCAGAGTTTCTTTGTGCACATGCTAAACCTTGTGGTAAGGTGGATGTTAATGCATGTCTGCTGAGAAAATTCCTGAGTTTAAGTGCTTGATTTTTGGTGAGTTAAGAGAGTTGAGAAAACGACTTTTGAACCTTTATTGATCTTTTGAGCTGGTAAAATCACTGTTAGAACATCATTACATGGTTAGTGGTATGCTTGGTGCATATGCTTGAGGGATGAATTTTGGGTTATATAGGAATGATCTTATGTAATAGAGCCTCATTTCTTATTTTTCTATAAAAAAAAAAACTGAGTAAGAGCAACATTTCACAGATCCTGTAGTTTGGTGTTAATCACATTCGATGCTATATAGCTGTTTGTTAAAAGAACACATTTCTACATTCACTTCAGGTTGTCTCTTGCCAAAAAACAAAAAAAAAAAACAAAAAAAAACAACAAAAAAAAAACAAAGAAAAACAAAGAAAAAAAAGAGTAATTTATTTTCCTATGCATTTTTTTGGCTCTTTGTTCGTTTCTGTAAATTTCTGTTTGACCCGAATGAAATCTCAAAAGCTGGTTTGTGGTAAGAATGGTGGAATGTTCTACTCAAATATTTCTGACACCTGTGAGATCAATGGAGTTGAGGCTTCTACTTGGTGAATTTTTCAAAGCTGCATATGTTATGGTCAGTGGTAAGAAGGTTATGGTTTGGAGCACACACACACGACTCTGGAGTTATGACTGAAATAATCTTGATAGTATCTTTTGACTTCTTGCTAACAGTTTGTTTGAAATACTCAGGTGACTAAGCGAGTTGAGACTTAGATTTTCTTTATGACATGATTTTTCTTGCGCTTGGATTGCTAGATACTAGCAATAAGCTGGTTGGGGGTTGTGATTAGTGCATGAAAATGCACCCTAAATACTGCTTTTGATTTATATAATATTAAAATATTTAAGCTTTAATTAAACAATTCCATTATTTTTATTCATAATATTTTTAATTGGAATTTGTCTAGTTTTTGCTTAATTATTTACAGACGAAAGCAGTGTGAAAAGCTACACAAGAAGGAGCCATGAAAGCTATATTTTCAACCAATCCGAGCCACCAAGCCGAGCGAGAGCTGCGTTGGCCGTTTGAGCCACCGAGCCAAGCTACTCGTGGGTCCCACTTTGTGATAGCCTATTCGTAGCACTTCTAGCGCGTGTCACTTGCACGGGAGTTCCTCATCTCGCGCGTTCCTTCCACGCAGCCTTCACCACGCTTCTCAGCTTTCCGCCGCGTGGGTCCCGCATGTCAGCTTGCAGCTACGCGTCTTCTCCGTGCGTGACAGCTGGCTTCCGCGCGTCCCAGCTGTCCTCCACTCTGCCCGCGCCTACACACTCCAATGAATCCGCGTGCGACACGTGGCACGTTTTTCTCCTCACTGCCAATCAAGCTTCGACACGTGTCTCTTCTGTGCTGAATCTAAATTCCTTCCCCAAAAATCAGATGAAATTACCAGATTTCTTCCTCAAATCAAATATATAATTTCTCCTAATTTATGTGTAATTTTATTTTGTGTCCTTTTCTTTTGTAATTTTCTAGTTTTACTATTTATTTCCATATTTGATAGGCAACCTCTGAACACTATAAATAAAGAGGTTGGCCTAAGGTTTTCGGAAGCTTTTGATATTCAGTTTTCTGTCGTCTTGCTGTCAGTCTCATATTTTCTCTCTAGAACTTGTGAGAATATTTTGCAAGCTAGGCTAGAGTTCTCTTGGTGAGGTTAGAGATGAACTTCTGTTGAGCGACCCATTTCAGAGTTTTGATTCCTTGTGCTGTAAAGTTCAATATTTGAATGGATTAAATCTCATCTATTTTTCTATTACTTTTCAAAATATTGTGTGCCAATTTTTATATAAGTTCAGTCACGCTTTTCTTATGTAATTCTGTCACGCATTGTTTTGTGATTCAAATTATTTTGCAAATTGTCTTTTACTGCAGTATTATCAAATTGATATATTGTCGACTTTAGATAACTTGTAATGATAATATTTTTGGAGTCAATATAGAGATTTAATTTATTCGATTCTTTTATTTTGTGAATCAAAACTTGAATTGGTGAACGAGACATTAGGGATTCTCGACACCTTACCATTTTCACTACTGAATTTCTACACATAAATTTCCTCCTTTTTATTCTATTTCCAACAAAACCTCAAAAACTCTTTTTTTTTTCTTTAATTCACTTGTTATTTATCTTTCTCATACGCTTTTATTCTATTAATTTTTCTTGTTATTTTGTTATCTCTCTGTGGATACGACTGCCCTTTTGTGCTACAATTGACCGCTTGTGAACATCACTTTTGGATGTTAATCAAGCCCCCGAGAGAGAGAGGATGATGAATTTCTTTCCCCACACATATGTAATTTGTAAGAGCAAAGATAAGAGAAATACAATACAGTGGATGTAGCTCTTGTTTAACAGAGTGAACCATTATAAAATTCTTGTGCGTTCTTACTTTCATAAGCATAAACTCATTTACTTCACAATCTAGCAAAAATCCTACTATAAATTCCAGTATATTCAGTGAAATCATAAGTTCCAAACCGGTAACCTAACGGGCTACCGTGGGGTAATCCTGTAAGGTCTTGTTGACAAAATTCTACCGTCAACACATACTTCAAGCTCGAAAGTTCGCACAAGAGGTGTTTTTCTCTTCTATTTTTTATTTTCTTTTTCTTTCCCATGCCTTTCTAAGGAAAACTCTATCTATTTATAGACTTCAAGGGTGGACTCTTGCTCCGGACTTGAAATATAATTTTATAATAGATAAAATGCGTGGTCATCTTTTTCAGATTCTCACTCAACTTGACTGGCCTAGATTCTTTACTTAGTTGGATACAATACATGATAAGCTGTCTTTTATACAGACTCTCGTTTTTAAATAAAGAGAATATTTACAAACTTTAGACTCTTTATAAATAAGGGGAATATGTTAAGCCTCATCCTCTGTTGGCTGTACTAGAATCTTTCTGCTACATTTTGGCTTGCTATCGTAAGTGCTGATGTTATTCTGAACCGAATTCTTCAATACTAGCTTTCTGCTTCGAGTTCTTCTATTATGGTATTGGCTTCAAGACTAAATTCTATCGGTGGAAGCATGTGATGTTTTATCATCTTGGGCTGGACGTCAAGCTGATAGCTGACTATAGAGGCTATTAAATGATTTTCTCCTGTGAATTTCCTAATCTCATGTGTCCAGGTTCTAGAGTGATTAGCCAACTTTTATATTAGTTTGATTGATTACAACATGTACTCATAACACGTATAAAACTGAAAGGAATAACTATGAACTTACAAATATTCTATGATCAAGAAAGAATAAAATAAAATTACTATTTACAATTCTCTTAAAATACCATAATTCCTCATTTTCTCTATAATGTCCACAGAGCCCCCTGTAGAACGCCATTCTTGATTGGTGTTTGGTCATTCATAGTCATAAAAGATTTGATTTAAGAAATTCAAGAAGATTTAACTGTGACCACACATTTATTAATTCAAAAAAGAAAATTTTTTAAAACTACCCCTTAAAATGAAGTCCTTTTTATTTCTATCCCTTAACATTAAGTCATATATTTTTACCTTTTAGACTAGCTCTAATTAAGGGATAGAG